CCTCCTGTGACATACTTTTCCTAACCATGCTCTTACCACCTCCCAGGACTGGGAGTTGCCCCTGCTGTGGACCTCAAAAGCTCCCTGTACTTACCATTTCTGGAACTGGCTACCCTGAGTGGTGATTGCCTGTTTACTTGTCTAACTCTTCCTTCTTACCCTGTGGTTCTTAGGGGTAGGAGCTGGGTCATATTTGTAATCATATCCCAGAGACTATCCACAGTACCTGGCGTCTAGAATCTGCTCAATGAGTTGTTGAATAGGACGAAAGCTCTCTACTCGTTTCCTATTTCAGCCAGTGGACTGATTTCTACTGCTCTTTCAGGTCTCTGCTTAGGGATCATGTTCTTCAGAAAAGTGTGTCTCCATCTAGCACTTACCTCCTTTAGCTATAGTTTCATGTGTAATTGCCTCTCTTATTAAGAAGATGACTGAGCTGGGTGCAGTGGCCCACGGCTATAATTCCAGCACTTTGGGAAGCCTAGTTGAGAGGATGGCCTGAGCCCACGGATTCAAGACCAGCCTGGGCAACTTGACAAGACCTCATCTCTACAATCAATCAATCAATCAATCAATCAATCAATCAATAGCCAGGCATGGTGGCGCATGCCTGTAGTTCCAGTTACTTGGAAGGCTGAGACAGAAGGATCGCCAGAACCCAGCAGGTCAACACTGGAGTGGCTGTGAGTGTGCCGCTGCACTCCAGCCTGGGTGACAGAGTGAGACTCTAACTCAAAAAAAAAAAAAAAAAGAAGATGGCTGTTTCATCCACAGAGGGACCCAAGACATAGGCAGAGATTTAAGTTCCACACAGCGTTGAATCGCGTATATCCATGTTCTTAGGGGGCCACCGTAGGAGACCCGAGAAAAGCCTCTGCGTTGCCTCTCTTTGGGTTCTCTCCTCCGCCCTGGTCTATAGCCACATCCCACCCTACAGTCAGGGCAAAAAATTCTGGAAGGGTTCTTGATTGAAAAAAGAGTACTGTATGTCCTGTCCAGAGAAACCAAGTAGAGACAAAAGCAAAGAGTGCCAATGTTTACGTTGGCTTTGTTGATGCAGCTGTTCTCTGGATCACGAACCCCTGTCGAGACACTGAGGCAAAGCCCTCAGGCCCACTCTTTTGGCCATGAGGAGAATGGCTCCTCTTCCTTTGTTCCATTCATGAATGGAGCCATCTTTAGACAATAGGAGTGGCAACCTTTAAGAAGAGGAAGATCTCTCTCTCTCTCTCTCTCTCTCTCTCTCTCTCTCTCTCTCTCTCTGTCTGTCTCTGTCTCTCTCTGTCTCTCTCTATCTTTATCTATCTATCTATCTTTCTCTCTGTAATTATTGTTTGTCTCTCTGTGTGTGTGTCTCCCTGTTTCTTTGTGTGTGTCTCTCTCTTTCCTCTCTCTATCTCTCTCTGTCTCTCTTTCCCTGTATCTCTTTTTTCCTCTCTCTCTTTCTCAACTCCCTCCTCTCTGCTTTCCCCTCCTTTTCTCCCTTTCTTCTCCCCTTCTCCTTTCCCCCTCCCCCCTGTCTGTCTCTCTCTCCCCCTCCCCCTTCCTCCCTCCTCTTCCCTCTTCACCTCTCTCCCTCCCCTATCTCTCTCTCCCTCTCCCCTTGCATATGGACTGAGGAGAGGCCCAGAAGGCACACAGTAAGAAGGCAGTGGTGTCCAGCCAGGAAGACAGCCCTGACCAGAAGAACCCACCCATGCCGGCACCTGATTTTGGACTTTCCAGTCTCCAGAATTGTGAGAAAATAAATTTCAGTGGTTAAAAAAACATCGAAACTAGAAGTCAGAGCATAATCACTAAATCATGTGGTAACAGGTAGAGAGGTATCCCAAGCAAGCAGGCTACTTGGAAAGATCTATACTAAATTATGTAGTGTCTAACAGGTAACCCAAAGAAGAAAGTCAAAGTCCAAAAAATGGCCCCGAAATTTGGAGATTAAGATAGGCCCTGAGAAATCAACAATAAATCCCTGCAAGATCAGGGTAAGCACAATGATATCTGAGATGGACTGGGGTACTGAGCAGATGACAAAACAAAAAGCCCATAACTAAGTGCAAGGTGAAAACCTGGACATCTCTAGATCTGAAAAGAAACTCATGGTCTAGAGACCGGAATACAGTAAGCGTGATTCAAATCCTGGATGCCAGAGAGTTGCTTTGCATTTCTTTTCTTTTTCTTTTCTTTTTTTTTTTTTTGAGTTGGAGTCTCACTCTGTTGCCTAGACTGAAGTGCAGTGGCACGCTCCCGGCCACTGCAGCCTCAACCTGCTGGACGCTGGAGATCCTTCCGCCTCAGCCTTCCAAGTAGCTGGAACTACAGGCACGCGCTACCACGTCTGGCTAATTTTTTTTTAATTTTATTGTAGAGATGAGGTCTCGCCAAGTTGCCCAGGTGGGTCTCGAACCCGTGGGCTCAGGCAATCCACTCACCTCAGCCTCCTCAAGCGCAGGATTACAAGCTGAGCCACCAAGCCCAACTGCTTTGCATTTCTAAAACTCCTTCCTCCTCTCAAAAACCTTCACCTCACCACCTCACCTCTTCCTGTTCATCCTTCTCTAAGTCAGAGGATGTTTAGCAAAATCAATCCCCAAATCTGAAAATTCTGAAATGTTAGAGCCACATGGCAATAACAGAGGGGAGAAGGCAGATAAAAAGGCTGGATCGTAAGGAAATATCAATTCAATATTCAATTATCTAAGTAATGGTGTGTGCAATAACCAGGCTTATCATGAAAATCTCACTCATTATCTAATCAATTTTTTCTTTTCTTTTTTTTTTTTTTTGAGTCGGAGTCTCCCTCCGTCGCCCAGACTGGAGTGCAGTAGCCGCTCCCGGCCACCGTAGCCTCGACCTGCTGGGCTCCGGCGATCCTTCCGCCTCAGCCTTCCAAGTAGCCAGAATTACAGGCGTGCGCTACCATACCTGGCTGATTTTTTGATTTATTGCAGAGATGAGGTCTCGCTGCCCAGGCGGGTCTCGAACCTGCGGGCTCAGGCAATCCATTCACCTCAGCCTCCTCAAGCGGATGACAGGCTGAGCCACCGAGCCCGGCTAATTTTTTTCTTTTTTAAAGTTAAAAAAATGACCACATCTGGTAAGCGTTTGTAATTTGAATCAGCAGACAGGATTTTGGTTAGATGACACTGCCAACTGACAGATCAAAAAACATGGCGGTATTCAAAATGTTTCATCCCCAAGTGGATCAGTGGCCTAAAGTGCAGGAGTTTACATGAACCATCTTTAAAAGGAGAATGTATGTTGCCTCTTGTCGGTAAGAAAGCTCTCATCTTAAATCAAGGGTTGTCATACTGCCAATCTCTAAGACACATTTATTTGCTTAAAGGAAGTGAACTTTAAGTCAAACTTCTCACCTGCTAAGTTATAACTTACTCCAGTCAGTAAGATCCAGATAGTTTCAAGATAGTAACAATCAGCACAAATTATAGTCATAATAGATGCATGTCAATAGCCTATAATGCTTACAAGAGGATGCCTATTTGTTTACAAAGAGTATAGTTTTTCTTTCGAACACCTTGCTTTGTAACATAGGTATATTTGGGATTGAAATGGAATAAATACATCATATTCCATGTTTATAAGAAATGAACAAATAATGTGTACAACTTTTTATTGAATATCTTGAATGGATTATATAACTCTTAAGGGCTTTGTGTTTTCCAAATATCTTAAGATAGCATCTTTCCTAGACACAAATTACAAAATCAAATTCTCTATTTCTAGTTTGGTTTGTTTCTAAATTCGTCTTTCTTGCACATTATAAATCACGTCTTATCCATATTGCAAACCATATGATGTTTTTAAACTGGTATCTTTATTAATGGCAATATGTAAGTATAAATTCAAAAGCAGCATTTCAGCAGCTTGGAATTTAATATCAATTGTTATTAAGTTCAATGCTCTAAATAACCATTAACTGGATGATTAGCAAGATGGAATATACATTTTAAAATAACATAAAGAATGTTGACTAAACCTTTAGTCATTACACTTGAATCTGAAAGTTTAATCGTATGCCTTGAAATGAACTGCTCTCAGAAATAGAAGGATACAATTTCAGGATTTTAAGTTCAGAGAAATCTTCTTAGCAAAGTTAGTAGTGTATCAAATAAAGCCACAACAGCCGCGTTTATTATGTTTCAGGTTGCTGGAGTGGGTCAATGCACTGGTGAAATGATAGATTATATTTCAGAAACACAGAAGGGAGAAAAGGACAAAAGTACTAATTAAATCTGAAACTTGTATAATTCTGGCGTGATAAATACACAAGAGAATACGGTAATTCCAAATGTCAGCCTCATTTTAACTGAACTTCTAAAAAATTTTAATAATGCTTTAATTTTTCACCTTTATATATAACTGAAGGTCCACTTTTAGCAAAGGTCTGAAAGAGCCCAAATGCAAACTTAGATATCTTGTTCTTACGTTTTAAAAAAAAGTGCAGAGCAAGCAGCCCAGGCAGCAGGGCACATTTTCATACCCTTGTTGCTCTGGAGGCAATATAGAGAAGCCGCCATAAATCATCTCCTGGCTGTATACGATTAATTTCATGTTCTGTACTTGTCCTCTGCTATGTTTTTTGCTGTTTCTTATTTTATTTTATTTTTGAGGTCACTCTCGGTTGGAGGTGAAATGCCTGAGCTCCATATTAAAATATCACACGGTGGTATTACAGCAACAAGTTTTAATAACCAAATTCGGGGTCATTCCCTCCAAAAGTTTTTAAATTAATTGTCAAAAACTGTCAAAGAAAAAATAACTTGCAACTCCCTACCCCTTTCTAAGATAAGAAGATATTAAATGGGTTTATTGCATAAGTTCTTGAAGGATAAGACATTCCTGCGAACACTGCGTATTTTCACAGGTGTCTTTTATCTTATTTGCTATTACCCTAGAAATGGTTTCAGACTTCAGCAGGGTGTCTTACTATTTGACTGATTTGCAGTAACACAGGAAAAAAACCTTTTTTTAATAATTTCCAGAATAGCTATTCTTCCAGACGGGAGTCTACGGATCCTTAATGCTTCTAAATCAGATGAGGGAAAGTATGTTTGCCGAGGGGAAAACGTCTTTGGGTCTGCTGAAATTATAGCTTCAGTATCTATAAAAGGTAAGCACACGTGACTCAGCGTTTTACCAGCATAGTTTCATGGCCTTATCAAAAAGAGAATAAATACAATATGCATGCATATATCTTTGCACGTATGAGTGTGTGTGCTCGTGTTTATAAAATACTTTGCAAACACAGTGCTAACCCAGCCAGATTGTCACTTTTCATCACTGAGGGGACCATAAAGGAAGGAACTCCTTATTGGTAAAAATTTGGATATTTTACTATGAATAAAATTTGTGACAGATTTTTATAAAAAGCTTTTTGAAGCTGTCATCAGCGCTCAACATTTAAAATATGTCAACAGTATAAAAATATTTCTCCTCTACTGAGAATCATTTTAGCATCAATGTGTAATATTCTTTTGTTAGCGATTGAACTGGGGATTTGGGACAAAAGGGAATAGCATAAGGAGGACCTGAGGAAGGGTGACCGTGGAGTGGCCTCAGATGAACCGGGACCAGAGAGGACCACTGACGTCTGCGTCAATGAAGTCTGTATAGACTTTTATTCTTTAGTCTAATAAATATGACTGCTCATATGTTTTCTGTTAGTTTTCCAGCTCTCAAATGAACTACATTTCAAGCCAAACCATACTTTTGAGACTCTATATCATTGTTTAGTAGTAAAAAAAAATATATATATATATAATATCTTTGGTGGCAAAATTACTTATTTTTCATAACTGAATTGTATCATAATATTTTTATTGTGCATCAATCATATGGCAAATGATACTTTGGTCATAAAATATGGACATGCTGACTTTTCTCTGTCTTTAGAAATCAGAATGATCAGTACTCTGATACGTGACAAAAGAGGAAAACGTCAAGTGAGGAAAAGAACAAGATTTGAAAGTTGATTTCATTTATATCATGCTTTACTGGAATCCAAACCAACCTTTCCATCCTCTCCCGTCCCTTCTTGGTGCTAGTCAGCCTTTTTCAAAATAAGGCCATAGTAACTCTGCGAATTTTTAAAAACAGCAACAAAAATCTTTTTGTTCATTATGAGCTTAACGGGATATTTAGTTACTCAGAACACTCAGCCCTAAAAGCTTGAAACTATAGTGTCCTGTGATTCTCTGTCATCTCTGATGAAGCCAGAACCTAGAATGCCATGCAGAATATCTGACTTCTAGACTGTTAATATTTACAGTGGTATTCCTGTTCTGGGGTTGCATTTTCCTCTCAGAGACTGCTCAGAAAGGGCTCGCTCTGTCACCCAGGCTGGAGTGCAATGGCACAATCATAGCTCACTACAGCCTCAAACTCCTAGGCTCAAGAGATCACCCCCCCCGCCAGCCACTCAAGTGGTCAGGACTACAGGCATGTGCCCCCACTCTCAGCTAATTTTTACAAAACTTTTGTTTGTAGGAATGGTGTCCTCTATGTTGTCCAGACCGGTCTTGAAGCATGCTAAAGAATGTTAAAGAATCTGATCAGAAGTGGGGTTTCCTCAGACTATAGTATTGCCAGCAATGAAGCTAGAACAGTAATATTACACTATTGTTGTTCACCACTTTGTCAGTCTTGAGGTATCTACAACCAAGAATCTAACTGAAGACACCAAGCCAAAATCTTGGCTTCATCACCTCCCTACTATATTCAAAACAAGTCAAATTATAGTTATTTCGTTACTAACTTAAATAACCCTGAGATGTGGAGCCTCTATTCATTGATTCAAAGTTGCTGTAACCCTAGTAAAAATGTCTGTATTTTAAAAATTTACCTGAATCACTAAGTCATTAAGCATAAATGATGTTTTCTCATTGTTTCTAGTGTTTTCACCTGTTTTCCTATATTTCAATTAAGCCATCCCCTACCTGTCAAAAGTGGTATCTTACAATTCGCAGCAATTGCCTCTTTTTCTTCTTTTCTACCCAGAAGAGGGCTTTGTAGAGTGTAAAGCAAATTCAAGGTAGTGTGGTAGCAGGAAAGTATTTCTACCTCTGCTAAAATAGTAAATTGAGAGGAGGGGCTTTGTGTTGCCTTGTAGTATCCTATAACCTTTTAGGAAGTGAACTCCTCCTTAATTCTTCCTTCTGATATGTGAAATATGTTTTATTGTGAAAATCTTTTTATTTTATTGTACTGAGACAGGGATCGCTCTGTCACCAAGACTGGAGTGCAATGGCACAATCATAGTTCTCTGCAGCCTCAAACTCCGAGGCTCAAGAGATCCTTCCACCTCAGCCAGCCAAGTGGCTAGGACTTCAGGCGTGTGCCTCCACTCCCAGCTAATTTTTTAAAACTTTTTTGGTAGAGATGGGGTGTCACTATGGGACCCAGACTGGTCCTGAACAACTGGCCTCAAGCGATCCTTCCACCTTGGCCTCCTAATATGCTGGAATGACAGGCGTGAGCCACTGTGCCTTGCCAAAATCCTTTTGCTTATCTGATGATCCTTAAATGTGGTCAGAGAAGCTGCGGCTTCTTTTTTTTTTCTAATTTTCTTCCTTCCAGAATATATCAAATATGGCTTCTAATTACAGACTCTCCCGTCTGTTTAAATTCAAGTTACTTCTTAATAGAAACAGGGACTCTTAAATCATTTGTGCCCTGCATAAGCACAGGAATATGCCCTAGCATATAGTTATGGGATATAGCTAGGAATATACCCTAGCTAATAGTTAACTTTATAATAGTTTATTGAAAGATGTGAGAAATCTGGCATATGTATCCGGAGCAGCTGTGTCAATATAGGTTCTTTGTTTTTCTCTATTATTTAAAATTATATAAATGCAAGGAAACAGGACATGTTGATTATGTTAATTAATATATCTGTATTTCTATAGAACCTACAAGGATAGAACTTACTCCTAAAAGAACAGAGTTAACCGTGGGAGAAAGCATCGTCCTTAATTGCAAAGCAATTCATGATCCTAGCTTGGATGTTACTTTCTACTGGACTCTGAAAGGACAGCCTATCGATTTCGAGAAAGAAGGTGGACATTTTGAAAGCATCAGGGCCGTAAGTGAATACACTTTTACTCTTTGAGAAATGATTGTAGAAATGTTGACTCAAATGTAAAAACTCTTATCTATGAAACACTAAAAAATAGGAAAAAAGCAATGATAAAAATAATTACTTTTGTCCATGGTTTTATGCTGTATCAAGCTGAAAGTAATATGTAATTAAAATCCCCAGTAAGAAATTGAGAATACTTCATTATGTAAATCTGGTTTCTCAACCACTTTTATTTATTTCACTATTATTGCCAGTATTTACACAGTACTCCTCCAAAGTTATGTTACTACATAAAATGGCTATTGCATTATTTAAAGCACTGTTCACAGTAAGTATGATGCAATAAACAAAATGTCTGCCTGACCTACTCCTTAAGAAATAGTAATTTTTAGAGGTTCTTTCATCTAGCACAAACTCTAATCTCTGTAGATTAAACATGCAACCCATAGTTGTAAATGCACATCAACTTTAAGTCTGCATTCACAGACATACTCACTCCTTGTCCGCCAAATCTTTTTATTTAATATCTTCTTTTAAATTATGTATCTATGTGGCAGTCAACTGAGTGGAGTGGGAAATCTTTTTCACTAAGTCCTATGGAACCATAGTAGTGTCTTAACTCTATGGAGAAGTTCAAAGAGACCTCTTCCTCCACTGACTTCTTTAAAATGTAAAAAAGAGTAACATAATTACGGAGGGAGGAGAAAAAGACAGATGGAACTGGAGTGGCAGAAAAGGAGAGATTTTGGCTGAAATCTCTCTTCTATCTTGGCTAAAAAAGATGGATCCAAATACAATTTTTGCCTACAAATTCAATTTCAAATGCAGTTGTGTACTTGTTAATATTCGTTTATTCTTCCCTAAACACGTTGGGACGCGTTGGAGAACCATGGCTATAGTGAGCCCAAATATTTAAACTCATTTCGGCTAGATTTTATTTTAAAGGTTATGTGATACAGGGACAACAGCCTTGAATCCAAAGTCAGAATTCTCTGGATCGGGTCCCAGCTCATTCTCCAATCAGCTATGTAACATACAGTCAGTCACTCACTTTGCTTGGCCATTAAGCTCATGGAGAAATGAAGTGAAAAAGTTGGACCAGATAATTTCTAAGATACTTTCCCACTTTATCATTTGATGAATTTATATTAGAAGAAGAGTAAATGTGACCTCTCTGTGTTGCATTTGCCAATGTGACAAAAATCAAACACCTTCCTCCAAATTATTCCTTTCAACCTGGTTTACTTTGCAATCAATGGGAGAAATTATTTAAGTAAGAAATAATTATCGACCACAGTGTTCACCATCTCATTAAATAAATTCATTTTAATTATACGTGGTTAAATAAGTTATATGCAAAATATTTAGATCATGTCAAATTAAATTCATTTTCCTCTATTTTGTGATTTTCTTTCTTCCTTTACCTTGGGTTGATAATTCCTTCCTGCAAACTTTATAACACGAAGGACATAAAACAGAACCAGAAAAATATAATGCAAAATTATCACATTTTAGCAACAAAAAATATGCCTTTAAAAATATATGTTAGGATTGTAGGGAAACATCCATTTGAGTGATAAGATATATACTGTAAAAATATGTCTAAAATCAATAGTTTTTCTTATAAGTAGTCGCCCTCTTTATTCTAAAATACCAATGAGAAATTAAGGGACCTGGTGAAGTTATATGAATCTTGGTTTTGTCTCTTATATGTAACTATCTTAGGTTGACGTCATTCGTTAGTATCAATAAATACTTTAAATCATTTTCATAAGTTTGGAAGTTAATAACACCTGCTATATTCCTCTTTACATATATAGTGCTCTTACCCCTGAAAGTGCAAAATTGACCCCTTACATTATGCAGTTCCTTATAGTTACAGACCATGTGGAAATTGGGCTCTGGATTGAAAGAGTGATAATAAACTCTAAGACAGACGAACAAAGCAAATTATCATACTGAGAAGTGAAGAAAACGTTAACTTTAAAGCGTAAAACTAAAATACGCTTTCAGTATATTTGGAATAATTTATGAAAATACATATGTACTTAAAAATATTTGGAAGCTTCAAAACTGTGAAGTGTAAAAAAGAAATCATCTTTGTCCCAATTGCCTGCAACACTAATTGGGTCTTGGCTGGCTTCAAGGACACACACTAGAGAGAACACTATTGTATTGCCATGAAAAGACAAGGAGAAGAAAGAACAACATTCTACTTCCCTTCTGCCTTTCTCCGTGTGAAAGAGGTCTGGGAAATAATACGTTTTAGGAGGAGGAATAAAAATGATACAAAGAAAGGAGATTTGGGATGCCTTCTGGGCTTGGGGATAACTTTTGTTTGGAAGGCCAAGGAAAGACTGTGGGATTCAGAGTGCAGGATGGACTCAGATGAGAACCAAGACCTGCCCCAAGACTCAGAGGAGAACCACGGAAGGGACCTTGGGGTTTCACCTTAGGGTTGAGCGTGCCCTGGCAGAGTGAAAAAGCCAAATGGGATTCCGGGACTTAAGCAAGAGTAGAGTATGATTTGATTGGAGCACTGTCTAGGCTAAATGCCCTGAGACAGACCCCTGCCAGAGGGTGATTAAATGAAGCTAAATCAGAAGAGAAATGCGTTACCACTGCATAGCGTAAGATCTAAAACACATTAACCAAGTCTCTATGAGAAGAACAGAGATATCAGTGGTCGCTATGTTTATATCCTGTAGATGCCAAAATACGATTTAGTGATGATGCTATATTTTTCAATTAATTGAATGGTGTCTTTCATACACAGTCATTCGTGTGTAGACAAAACTTGAATCAAATTTTTGCATGCAGAGTTTCTGACATCTATATACAACGTACAAAGACTATCACTTTTTGACTGCATTTCAAGAGAGTAAGTAAACATATAATCACACCAGGTTAAAAAAAATAGTATTGCTTTGAAATTTAAGTTAAAACATGAAAGCGTTTCTACTATTTCTCTTACCCTCTTTTCTTAGGCCACATTTTTACAAACCCAGCAATCTGACTAATTTGGAGTGAATCCATTATTGAAGTCACCGTTGAAAGGGGCCAAGCAATCGATGAGGCTGTAAATATCTGATCCAGTTCACCTAAATCACTTTTCTGGCAAATTATATGAATCAACTGAATGTGGCAAATTAGTGAGGCTCTTCTCAGGATTTTAACTCAATGTAGTTCTACAAGCTAAGCATTGTGGGGGTCCAAAGTAAAAGACATGAACCTTCACCTCTGAGAGAACACAGTTTCGGGGCACAAGTAGCAGGATGAGTTGTGCTCTGTGCGATGGAGCTATCCCCTGGGGGGCGGGGAAGGAGGGCTCTGTGTCACCAACTGGTAGGAGGGGGTGTATTTGAGATGGAGCTGGTTAGCTGATTTTGCCAGGTACCACAGAGAAACTGCATTTCAGACAGAATGAGCCCGTCAAGCAAAGACAGAAAGGCAGATAAGCGTAGTGTTACGCTTTAGGAAGACTGAGAACTGTGGTCTGGTTCTGCACAGTGAGGGGGCACAGGAGACAATAAGTCAGTATTTTTGTATAAATTTAAGAGGAAACAACAGAGAGAGGCCTCGAAGGCCCTGATTTCCGAGCTGTAAAATTTGAGTTTTATTTTGAGTGCCGCAGAAATCCACATGATTCAGATTTGTTTTTCAGGGAGATAATTCTGACAGCTGTGTGGACCAGGGAGTGAATCGTTTCTAGATTTTACATTCAGCGTAGACTGGTTAAGCAAAGGTTACAATGAGACAGCCATTATAAGCTTCAACCTTCATAACCAGGCTTTTATCAAATACAATCATTTATGCTTGTGTTTTGACACAATGTTGGATGTTGACCAGAGGTCTGCAGGAATCCCTTTTTCCCCTCAGAATGTCCACTAGTAGCTAACTAAGCATTGCACTGTGGCCCCAAAGTCACAGTCTCCATGCAGGACTGTGGTGATCCATTATTTTCCAGTGACTTGAAATCTTGTAATTGTTCCTATGGGATATAAGCACGTTTCAATTCCTATGAGGCATAAGGAACTGTTACACTGAATATCATGGCAGCCTGTAATTTGTGAGTTTGTTTTGTTTTTTTCAAGCACAGATAAATATCTCCCATATGTGTCATCAGAATGGCCTACATGAGAATTGCCCTTTTCATTGGGAACATTCCACTGGAAACTTGCTGAATTGTAACTCAATGGACAACTGCACCCCAATGCTTCATGCAGCACGGTCCCTGGTAGTTACCCAGTTCTCTGGCTATAGCAAGACATTTGGGAGGACAGGGTGAGAATTTTGACCTCATTTTTTAATGCGTAAACTGAAGAAGAAAACTTTCCAAGCTCACATAAATTGGGATAACAAGGTGAACTATCGTGATTTTTAAGCTATGTTCTGTAGTCTCTTTTTTGTAAAGCTACCCTCTCCACATTCATTGACCTTGTCTATAGACTGTAGGGAAATAAAAATAAAAGAAAGAATTGTCTCTAGTCTTCAGCAAGCATAAAGGTGGTACAGGATATTAAGTCAAGAAAAATATGACCAGGAAAAAATAATTACTACATGTTCAAGTGACAGCCAAATAGTGTTGGCAATTGCAAAAGAAAGAGATGAATGTGATCTTTTGTTTTTGTGGAGAAAAACAAGATGAAGAATTGATTGAACACCTACTGTGTGCCAAGTACACAGTATGTAAAACACAGCAAGTTGATTATTCATAACAACATCATGAAGTAATATTATTTGGGAAGAACATGCTCCTTGACCTACGAAAGTAGAATTTGATTAGGCAAAAAAGAAAGAGAAGGGCAGTCTAAGGTGAGAAAAGATACTGTGTCTCAGGACTGCGAGGGGTCGTAGAGATTATTGAGTTAGTTCTAGGCTGATCCACAGATTCTCCTTCAGTATCAGAGTGTATGTGCAATGAGGAGCCACTCCTTGGGGTCCATTCCATCCCCAGGCATTGCTGAATGTCAGAAGGTTAGAATGTAGGAGTGATGGTGATA